TCGGTTAATGGTTAACCGGTTAAAATGTGCAACCCTTCTGACAACATTGCTACATATATTAGTGAACATAAAGTTAATTCACCTGAACAAGCAGCAGCGTTGGCTGATGATTATGTACTTACTCACCGAAGCAATTTTGTTGATTGGCGCTCACGGGGAGATGCTCGGTCGAGTACATTTCCGAGTTGTTTTCCTACGGGGAAGTTTGATCTACACAAGTCATGTAATTACTGTCGTGAAAACGGGCACTGGAAAGCAGATTGTTCTGTACTCGAGACAAAAGCTAGATGTGAGGTTAATAAATTGCCTAAATCAGCTGCTTTTGTGACTTCCGTTCCGTACCTAATCAGCCTGTGCCTCCACCTCATTATCTGTCTCACACCCTGTAACCTGAGCCCTCTGTGATGTCACTTCCTGCCAGTCAAGCGCTCCACCTCGCCCCTGCTCATATTGCAGCCGCTCTCAGGTTACACTGCGCCGTCTAATGCATTTTGGGAAATGAAGGTGTGTAGCAACCTAAGGTCAAGACACTAGAGCCCGGCTCCCATCTCCTGCAGTCCTGCTGCGGAAAAATACGGCACCGGGAATGAGCGGCATCCTGGCCAGCTGATGTGCTTCAGACAAGCGGCATATGTTATTTATGAAGTCAAGGCTGCTGAGAGAGGGAGGGACCTTCAGGAGTTGTTGACTCAGAGCGAGCCAGCCACCAAAACAGAAGTTGTGAAGTAAGAAAGAGGGACGAACGGGCGAGCTCCAGCATCTAGGATTACAGAGCGAGAGTACCTGCTCGCTGAGAATAGTGGAACTGTTTTTTGCCCTCCCTGCCGCGGGCCCCGGGACAGGCAGAGGACAGGGCACACGGGACGCGGGGTACAGGGCAAGATTATGGGACAGGGAGCGAGTACTCAGACTTTAAACCCGAACCCTGCCTACATTACCGGTGAGTTATTTCGGACGGGATGTGGATTCCAGAGTATGAAGATGATGATACGTCGTTTTTATTTCACAAAGTTTGTTTGCAAGCCGTACCAGACCGGTTTAGCTTTTCCACTGGAGGTGATCTGGCGATATTGCTTATGCCGGTGCCAACTGTGCTTGTCTGAATGATCGCAGGTGTACGCTTATTGACGTGTAGGAAGGAGTGAGAGACAGGCATGGGCAGGTGGGGTGAATGTATGCTGATGGAATGTGGTGATTGTGCAATCGGACATTCTCATGTTTCTGTCAAGCACGCTTCCTCTCAGATTAGACTTTACCAGTTGATATGAGAATGAGCTTTGCCGTAGCTCTCTATAGAGGTCTCCACATTGCATCATGTATGACCATGTGTTTGGTGCAGCCGTGTTAAAGGAGCAAATCTGTTTGTGCTGGCTGTTGATACAAGCTGACTCAAGTGGTTTCTTGTTGACACTGTTAATCACAGCATGATGAGCTCGAATCCAAACATGCAGGCTCGTCCTTCATTTACTGCGACAGAACACAGATAGAGGCTGTGGAGCTCATTCATAAAACTATTCTTACATAAACGCATTGATGAACACATCAGTTTACTTAAGAATAGTTTTATGAAGGACTTGCTCCAATTGTTTTTAAAGGAGGTCTTGAATAGCATTGTACTGTTGCTGCTGTATACACATTTTCAATGTGCCTTTTACAACCAGCACGCATGGTGTGCTACACTGTGCCCAAAAGACTTCAACTTAACTTAGTGTGTTGAATGAACTGGAAACCAAGTTTACTTTTTCTCATTTTTGATGGGATTGACAAAAACTAGTATGTAAATTTATATAAATTGATGCAAATCAAGATGACACTTGCACACTCACAGAGTTAAATGTGTGTACTGAAGTCATGTGATACTAATGTAGTATTCTACTGTTTGAAATGTTTATCATTGCCTTTTGTGCACAGTTTCAGATTTCTGTTTTCTTTTTTATGTAAAAAAAAAAAATGTTTTAATAGCATTCAGTATTCCATTACGAATATAATTAAGTTAATTTAACAGTCAACTAAGGTATTATAAATTGATTTTTTGTTAAAATTATATTTTATTTAAAAATATCATATAGTTTTTATAATATAAATTATTTATTATAATAGTATAAAACAGTTTATTTCTGTAATTTAGTTTGTTTGTACACTACCATTCAAAAGTGTGGGGTCAGTAAGATTTTTTTAAATAAATTTTTTTGTTCAGCAAGGATGCGTTAAATAGATCGAAAGTGACAGTAAAGACATTTATAATGTTACAAAAGATTTCTTCAAATAAATGCTGTTCTTTTGAATTTTCTATTCATCAAAGTTCGCACACAAAAATATGAAGCATCACAACTGTTTTCAACATTGATAATCAGAAATGTTTCTTGAGCAGCAAATCAACATATTATGGCTCATTTCCACCGAGCGGGACGGTTCGATTCGGGAGGCAGAAATAGAAATCAACTTATAATATTTTAACAATATTACAGTTTTTACTGTATTTTCGATCAAATAAAAGCAGCCTTGGTGAGCATAAGGGCTTCATTCAGAAACATACACAACAAATATTAAACAAATATTATCTGATGATTTGTCATGTTGTTTTAAGGTGTTGCCGTGAATCTTCTGTTTGTCATCACGTGCCGTATTCTCTTCTCACTCAACGTTTGATCATTTTATGAGCACGTTCAGTTCTCCCATCGACTCTTGACCACTGTGTTTATTTACACGCAGTGTCCTCGACGTCCGTGTGTGATGTCCTCTACCATTATCATAGCTGTACGTTGCTCTCAGTGAGTTCAGGGCAGTCGACTAATCAGATTCTCACGTATGTCACTGATATGAGCAGCCTTCCTGAAACAAAGAGCTCGTTGAGGCTCACTGAATGCTTCGTAGAAACACTGATTGAGATGTGTGTGTGTGTGTGTCAGGTGAAGATCAGTGCTTGGTTGTGTTGGGTATATTGTGGCCTGTGCTCTGATAGTGCGACATTCACTTCAATTACTTTATTATTCAGTTTTATCAAGGTTGTGGTGCCATGACAATGAGCCAACTTGTTTTCTCTTGTCACCGTGGCTTTCTTTTTCCAAACAACATGAGAACAGTGTGTTTTACAGTAAGCAGTAAGTAGACCAAGTCAGAATGTACTGACTATTTCAGAGCTTGTAGTTTTTGACTTTAGTGTGTTTTTGCGTACCTTCATTTAAAGGTTTTTTCCACATGTGTAAAGTGTTTTCGTTGGAAAAATCCCGTTTGCGTGAAGTAAACTAGGTCTGTGTGCTGTCAAACACTTGCCAAATCAGTTAAGAGCATCTAGGCCAACAAGGCTGCCAAAACCCATAAACATTCCAAACCTCCCCGTGTGTCATACACAACCTGCCTTGTCTTGTGTCTTCAGACCAGTTTAACGGTCTCTGTGTCTTGTTATTCATGCTTAATATGCATCATTTGCTAAATGAATTGCACAGCCTTCTCTTTCCTATGTTACAACATCTTAGCATTTGTTCAAACAAGGGACATATTGCATATACCGTGGAATCTGTGGAGCAAGCATAGAGGAAACAAGAACATTTTTGTATTTACTCAAACGCGTCTAATTTCTCTTAATTTTACAATTTACTGTCCAAATTCAGTCCCATGCAAAACATGCTGTGTACTAGAATTTTACTGTCTAGTTATGTCGACAAAAATTATTCATGTAGGCCAAAAAAAAAAAAAGATTAAGTTAATTCTAAAAATGTAAGTGGATTTAACTTAATGAAATTTAATTATGACAAAACATTTATTAATCTTATTTTAGTTAAGTAAATTGAATGAGGGCAAAAATATCTTCTATAAAAATATTTATGTTTTTATTTATTTATTTAAACGCAGGAGAAATAAGTTCCACAAATTGGCCTAAAACGAGGAAACACAATACAATGTGCAACAAATGAGTTTTTTTGTTGTTGTTGTTGTTTTTTTTTTTGCCTGTCATGTTCAGGGCTTTGTATGAATCTGACCCCAGTAATAGTGTTGCTGTTTATAAACTGAAGGTCAAGGGAACATTATTTTACTTTCCTCATAACACTGTCGATAAACCTTAACTTGTGTTTAGCTGTCTGTTTTCCCATAATAGCTAATCATGTTAACCCAACATTAATTAAACCTGCAAGGCGAACAAGATCTGTGGTTAGTGTTTATCTTTAAATGTCAGTTAAAGCCGTACTGTCACCAGCTGAATGTCTGAAATGCACATTAACGGCTGACACCTCTCAGATTCCTGCGGGATGTTGTGAAACACCATGAAACTGGCCTGGTGGCTTGATGCGCCATGATTAGGTCTAGTTATGGTATTATGTACTGAAGCACACTTTTATACGCTCCAAAATGTAACCTGCGACAACAGGTAGAGGGTTTAGTAGCAGCAAGATCTGTAAAACTCAGCTGGATGTCACTGCATGTAAACTGTAAATCACAGTGAGCTCATGGCTTGTTTGAGTAAAGTATTCAGTATCCATATAACTTTCCTGAATCAACACCCACTGTTGTTACATGTGACTCATTAGGCTGTTGAAAGGGTTGTAATTGTTTTGTCAATCCATTTAGCAACATATTACACTGTGTAATCCGACAGACTGTGAATGTGTAGCAGTGCGGTGGGTGTGTTGTGTTACTCAGGTTTCTGTAGTGAGTCAGTGGCCGGCCCAATGTGCTAGTGCTACTACTGTTTTCACGTGTAATATCAGTGTAATGTCTCACTGTAATTGAGCACATGCTTTGACCGTCATCATGACAGGACGTCCTGTAGTTTAATGAATTGTATCTAGAGTGTTCTTACACTCTTGGATTTTATATATGATGTATGGTTTGTTATGAAAATATTTTCCTGTAACAAAAAAATAATCCATGAGAGGCCGTGTGTTACAGTAATTGTACATGCACAACACGAAGAGCAATTAATTTAATAAATTTTGGTGTAGTTTGCATTTTCTGACTAGTATGTATTGAGACACATATCTTCAAACACTGCTTTTAACACTGCTTCCATATGACAGTTTGGTATTAAATAGCATTCGTGTGCAATTCAAATGAGAAAAATATTACATGCATTCTGCTTTACGTTAATATAGAATGTGTCACAGGTTTGTTTAACAGGATTTTACAGCTGTGCACAACCCGCCCTTTGTTTAGTCACGAGGCGTTAAACGTCGGCGATAATCGCGCGTGATATTCGTCCCGGTGTGAACAAGCCTTTAGAATTACAGTTAGCCATTTTAGTTTTATTTTGTTGTCTTTTTTCCCTTGTCAGTGTCTGATTAGAAATGCATGATAAATATACAAAATTTCTCTCTCTCTTTCCTCCTGCTCCTCCCCAGATGTTGAAGTGGATCATAGTGTGCCGGAGAGTGATGGAGCACCTCCAGGAGCAGGAACCCCTGCGGCAAAGGGCAAGGGCAAGTTCTCCAGCCTGGGCAAGATCTTCAAACCCTGGAAGTGGAGGAAGAAGAGAAGCAGTGACAAGTTCAAGGAGACATCAGAAGGTACCTGTCTGTTAACATTTCTGACTCTTAAACTACACTGAATGAATACGGTCATTTTATAATGCCCATTCAGTTGGAACTGAATTCTGATATGAACCTTTTTTTTTTTTTTTTGGAAGTTACAGTGATCAGTTTTGATTTGTTATTCATTAAATGTTTCAATTATTAATCACAATTGTCCATTTTGAGGGGAGGTTAAATTAGGATTTAAGATTCCCCTTAAACTCACTGTCTTTTGAAACCAGTGGCTTGACTGATTAATGTGTGTCTGCTCTCTTTCTGAATGATCAGTGCTGGAGAGGAAGATTTCGACGAGGAAGCCCAGAGAGGAGTTGATAGAGCGAGGGTTACTGAAGGACATCCCAGAAAATAGTACGGCAACCCAGCATGGTCATGGTATCCCATTGTTTTGAATTTGATTGTTCAAAACCTAATTGCTTGAAAGGTTTTGTGAGATTCATTCTGTCATAAACATGTCCAAAGCATGTTTTTATGTATCATGCTGTATTTGTTATTAAAATAACATCACAATGCAAAAACTTTTTTATGATCCTGCAGTACAAATAGGTTTATTTTTCTTTATGGTGGTTCTTCTCTTTCTTTTCTGTTTTGAAAACACATAATTAGCTGCACTGTGGTGTTTCAGACTGGTTCACAGTCAATGAAGACCAGGATTTTTAAAGTCAGCAGAAAGATCCCACATCAAGAAGATTATGAAACACTTAAAAAAAATACGTATATAATATGCACAGATAAATCATTTATAATAAACACTTGAAACATTCAGTTAAAACTAAGAAGTGTTCATTTTGATTTCATGGTGACTTTAAAATTGGGATTTTCAGGCCTGGAAAAGTCAATTATAAAGGCTTAAAATACATAAGAATAAAAATCTGTAGGGAATATACATTTTACTGGCTAATAACATTATTAATAATACCTTTAATAAACTGGAAAAACCATGAAAATTGGTCAAAATGTGTGAAACCCTGTTCTGAGCATCTGTGATTCAGCCTGTAAGATTACGTTTAAGCATTGCGTCATTTCATACTGTTCTGTATTCAGTTGTTCAAATGTTGTGATGAACGTACCTCCTGTAGTATCCACTTTGACATGTTTCTTCTTTGGTCTGTTGTATTCTGTCTCAAAATCCATCATCCACATCTGTTTCAGAGAGTAATGACGTGAATCACAAAGCTCCTCCAGTGAAGAACGGCCACACTGCTCCAGTGCCTGGAGAGCGCAGGTCAGATACAGGCTCAGAGGTCAAGGCACCATCTTCACGGCCACAAGGAGAAGAACAGAGAAACAGCCTCGCACCTGAACCGGAGCGCCGCAACCGAGCGCCCTCCGACGTCAGTCGCAACCGTCAGCCGCTGGACGTGGACGCTCGGACGCGGTTACCGCATGAAACGGACCGACGCAGCCGACTGGAGTCAGATGTGGAGAGACCAGCAGGATCTTTACCGAGAGAAAGACAAGGACAGGAGGAGGGACGGTATCGGCGAGAGGAAAGAGATGAGAAAGCGAGCAGGGACAGAGAACGGCGGGATAGAAGAGAAGACAGGGAAGGAAGAGGCGAACGTATAGATGACAGAGACAGACGAGACAAGAGGCCTGATAAAGAGGACAGGCATGGAAAAGGTGATCGAGATGAATGCGAGAAAGAGAGGCGGAATGACAGGGAAAAGCGGGAAGAGAAGGACTGGAGAGAAAACAGGGATAGGAAACAGCCACGAGACAGGAAAGAGGATCACGAAAGGCGAGATGAGCCCGAGAGAGTAGACGAGCGAGAGCGAAAGGAGCAGAGCGAAAGGAGGGAAGACAGGGAAAGAAGAGAGGAACGGGATAGACGTGAGGAAAGAGACAGAAAAGACGAGAGAGAAAGGAGAGACGTCAGGAGGCCAGAACCTGTGAAACAGGTGTCTGATGGGAAACTATTCCGGCCTCAGTCAGAACAGGACATGCGGCCCATTATTCAGAAGAGCTCGTCTGACTTTGGACAGAAGGTCCGGCCTGTTTCAGAGGCCATCCAGAGCAGCACACTGCCACGATACACACCTGCAGAGGAAGAATCAAGGGCACGAACAGGTAAAACTCTCCCCCAGCTCACTCCATTCGTGACAATACATTTGTGGGCATTAAAGACATTGCTCAAAACAGTGAGGCTTACTAGGGGTTTTAATATCCACATACATCTAGAGCTGGAAAAATTATAAAATAATATACCCTGGAAAAATATGACTGCCACTTGAACTGAGGCAGCTACAAGGCGATCTGTCACGCCACATTAAAAAGCACCAAAACCATATTTATTGTTGGAATTTCACAATAAAATTGACTTTGAATTTGAAAGCTCAGACTTTGTTTCATATGCAAAGTAACAAAGCACAAAGTTTATTGCGATTATTGGCTGGGTGGCACGTTACAAATAATGTTTAGTGAAGTTTTGTTCTCGCGTCAAATCTAATATTAACACATTTTAAAAATAAAGTGAAAAATAAAAAAAAATAATCAAATTAAATTAAATTGCATTTGAGCACTAAATCCAAATTCAGCACTAGAAGTCACATTTTGGTGAATTTCTACACCAAACATTTTTCTGAAAGATTTCTCCACGATATAAAATATGTATACAATATCACACTATTCATTTTAAAGACACATGCATAACAGTTGCTGAAATGAAATGTATTTATCTTATGTAATATTTACTAAATTAGAAATAAATAATTTGATAGTGAATAAATATGAAAAATTATATTAAAAAAATTATTTGAACTTGATGAAAAATAAATTTGTAAAATAAGTTGATGGATTGATTGCTTTGGCTGTGTATTGGTCAACCACTGATCAAGCTGGTCAAGCGAATTTGCCACGTTGACCTACAGAAAGCTTCTTGATTGAAAGTGACTTCTATGTGAGCTGCAATTCATACATCGATTATTGAGAGTGGACCCTTTTGTGCCTGTTGAAAAAGCAATAGTTAAGAGTTGTTCACATTTTGAAAGCGGCTACATTTAAGTAAGTGTTTTTTTGTTTTGTTTTGTTTTTTTATAAACTAGCCACTCCAGTTGGTTTTAAAGAGTTTAAATGCAAAACTGCAATTTTTGTTTATTTATATCGGCCCAGAAGTTCAATATCGATGCGTCTAGGGCTGGGTATCGAGTTCGATACTTTTTAGGCACCGACCGAATTGCCTCGATACCATTGAGTATCGAAAAACGTCTCGTCGTTCGGCACCAAATTTCGACACCTAAGGAGTTAATCTCATCAGCGTCAGTGAGCCAATAAGCCTGCAACACATGACAGATCGATCAGTGTTTGACATCCGTGAGAGCGATTCGAAAGCGCACGGAGCAGTCTGCTCTCTTAGCTCTCGTGGTACTGTAATACACCGA